TGTGTGTTCTGCTAGAGTCGTATGCAGAACGTCAAACAATTAGGACCATGGCACTACATAGGCCCTCACGATGGGGTGCCTACTACCCATACGTTCTGCACTCCTTTGTCAAGTCGTACCGCTCGCGTCGTCAACATAAGCGCATCCACGAGACTCTCATTATTCTCTTATCCCTGTCGCCTTTCTTGACTTCCGTACAAGGGCGTGGATTTCCCACATTCGAGGTCCATTCAATCCCTGATCTCACTCCATGCAGCCCATTCACCTTTTCTTGGACTGGTGGCACAGCCCCCTTCGCGCTTTTCATGATCGATGACGACACTGGGGATACAGTGGACGAATTCCAAAATATCGAATCAAGCTCCTTCACATGGACACCAGAGCTGGGCGAGAGTAGGAGGCTCTTGCTGTTTGCTCAAGTATTGGACGTCAATGACAACGACGACGAAACCGAAGACTTCGTAGTGCAGGCGGCATCCTGTACAACAAGTAGCAGTTCGGTCTCCTCCATCACACTTCAGAGCACCGCTGTGTCTTCCACCACCATAACGGTCACTGCGTCCGCTTCACCGCCTCCAGCAGGCATATCCTCACCAACTTCTGTGGCGGCCACATCACACCCCACCCAATCCTCATCCACACTTCAGACCCCCAGTTCACACGAGACGTCAGCGCCCTCCACCAGTCTCCTATCCTCGTCAAGCATCTTGTCTGCAAATAGCGGTTCGACTATCACTTCTACGACTACGGCTACTGTCGGGTCAGTTAATGGGTTCACCTCGTTTCCCGATAGCAAAGCCCCGTCCACGTCAATGTTACCCTCTCCATCAACTTCTAAAGCACCTTCTCGAGCGGGCGAAATTGCGGGCATTGTACTGGGAGCATTGGCTCTACTGTGCATGTTGATCATTTTCGTGATTTGGAGACGGGCGACCCGAAGATCCTCGCCGAATGCACACTCAGCTGAAGAAAAGTCAATAGGTTCGTCGATATGTAAGGCCATAACGCACGCTTATACTGAGGCCCTAGACCTCTTTGTAGATGTTAGCTCCTCGCACCCTGAATGGAACAACCCCTCACAATATTCTAAGGCTACGATGCTCCTTCAGGCTTACCCCAGGACATCGCGCATGGCATCTACAGGATTGTCTGAAGGATCCACTCTCTTGGATGACGATAGGAGTGGTATCTTACCGAGAGGTAGTAACCCTTCTAGCGTAGCAGTTGAGCCATCGGCGAGCGACTGCCCTATTAGGTCTCTATCCCAGCATTTGCCTCGTCCCCATAGCAACGTCGACAAGGGCGCTAACACTAACGGCATCGAATTCGAAGCATCGACGTCTCTGACAGATATGGATAGGGTTGCACGAGGGGCGGAGGAGCGTCCATCTGTGTATGTTGATGAAAGCAAGATGAGGTCAGTCGCGAATATGGAAGGAGATGCAATATGGGACCGGACGGCGCGTATGACAAGAACTGAGAGCGATGGTGGAATACGTCTTGCGGGTGGCCCTCAGGACATCATGGATGCCTTTGACGATGGCGCGACTTCCACACTCCCTCCACCGTATCATCGTTATGAGGTCTGAATCTTCCCTGTTGTTTCTGGACAGCTATCCAATCAGTACGAAGAATCTGCCTGGGGACATTGATCACTACTGTATTCTACACTTAGGACTCCAAATGTAGTGTGTTGGCGCCTCGTTGTCATAACCGTCTGAGATGTTGTTCATGTGGCGTTAGCAACCATCGTGTCTCAAGGCCTCACCATCTGCCGTGGGCTCGTCGCCCAATCAACAGAACTGTTCTGAAACTGTTCTAGGGTCGCAGTTGCGCCCAAGTGCAGTCCCACCGAAGCGTCCTTGTTGCTTGCGTTTCCTCGTGACGCTAATTGGGAGGTCTCATTCCGTTCATGGTGACCGGAAGACGCACATCCAGACTCAGACCTCAGGTCTGGTGCTTACCAGGGAAGCTTATAAGTGCATGCTTGGAAACTGGGCCGTACATTCTCTGTCCCTAGTTACTTGGATCCTTGGATCCTGACCACGTTCCTTACCAACGTCACTCCTTCAAGCTTAACTGCTTACCATGTCTGGTCCAAGTGTCATACACATTCGATTCTCCCCGCAATACCTCTTCATCTTCCATGAGATCGCAGGTGTCAAAAACGCCCAACCGTACATTGCCTTGATTGGAAGTATGTGCAGGATAGCCGCGACCTCCAAAAGTCATAGCCAGCTAATCTCTCCCAGGTATCCTGTGCTATTGCAATCTGTATCACGCCATACACGGCTTGCTGGGAAGCACTCATCACAGCTCCTCAAGAGAAGAGGTTTCAAGACAACTCATCTGTCTGCCGCACGCCGAAATTGGATCACGGACACGGGGAGGAGGAGAACGTCGTCTCTGCGTGGTTCTTATCCTTATGTCATTCCTCGTCACTTCCGTCGAGGCTATCAGCTTCAATAATCCGAATGTTCCAGCTCTAGAACCGTGCGCGTCCTTCCAGTTCAGTTGGACAGGAGGAGAGCCGGAGTTTGACCTCGAGATCATCGACGTCAACAGCAACGCAGTAATTGAGGATTTCCCTGGAATCACCGACACTTCGTTCACCTGGGTCGCCGATAGTCTCGTGACACAAAAAGTGGTGATTGCAAGGATTACCGACGCAACTGGCCAAAGCAATGTTACCGAAAACATCCCTGTCGCACCGGGACAAGCGCCATGTTCCAACACACACCCTTCGAGCCCATCACCTCGCACTTCATCTACTTCTCTTAGCACTGAGCCGTCCCTCCCCACTTCATCTAGAGTTCCCAGCACAGTCGCTGCACCAGGTCTTTCGACAACCACGGAGAGTACTACATTGTCGTCCAGGAGCATCCTATCTACAAGTCCCGAGAGCTCGTCGTCCCCCCCGGCCTCCCCAACTTTGGCCCTTCCTTCCTCTCCCTCTCCGTCGGCACCAGAACCGTCTTTAACATCAAGATCAATTCCTGACAAGACCTCATCTACACCATCCGTCAGCCCTTCTCCTGTGGTTACCAACAGTTCAGCGGCGTCGTCCTTGGCGACTTCTTCACCCACCTTGTCGCATCTACCCTCTCCGATCGGGCCCCAAAGGAGTGTGCGCAGTACGCCGCTAGACCCGAGCACTTGGGCTGCGATTGGCATAGCAATTGGCGTCCTCATCATAGGGGCAGTTGCACTTCTCTTTTGGCTCCGGAGACGGATCAGACAGAGACAGAACTATGGAAGTCCTTGGGACAAGCAAGCAGGCGAGTCATTGAAAAATGTAACAGTTCTACAAATCAGCGTGTTCATGACGTGGCTACAGATATCCCAGAGTCCCGGCCGCTCCTACAAGACCTGGAGACCCTCTTACAAGACCTGGAGACTCCTCAGGGAGCAGTCATAGCTGAGCGTGCTAGCTCTGGCTTTCGGCCCCCGTGGAACGCGATGTACCGTGGGACCAACGCTGTGGATGACACGAGGAGTGAAAGCGAAGTACTGGTCATAGGAACCCGCTCCCCGCGCAGCACGCTAGCGCAAGCATCTGAACCTTACTCCCCACAAGCCACGACACTCTCATACACTCCGTACCAAGCCATTCCCTCGCTGATATCATCGCCAAGCGTTCTCAAGGGTCAAAGCTCTGACTCACGCGATGATTACTCGCGTTCGCGCGAAGACTCGATGCGTCTATCATCGGAACCCCTCAATGCCCGCGGACCCATCTACCCGGGGAGCTCACCTACAAATTCCGGGGTGGAAACAGGACGACTCACCGAGAGGGACACATACAGCAGCTTTTGGCTTGAATCGGAGAGCAGTGCGCCCTTTGAGGAGGATGAATGGGTGGCCGTCCCGCCCCCGTATAGCTACCGGCAGTGGTTTGGATAAGATATGAGACCGTTGAGACAACGCTGAAAATATTAGTAGCGTTCATATCCAGCACATTGGAAACACATTGGAATGCATACAAGCGCAGACATTTCTTCGAACTCTTGTTGCTTCTAGTGCTCGCGAATCGAATTGCCGTTGGCTTTCGAATCGTTGACCAAGGCATGCAGCTGCACTTAGCGCCGGGATGAATGAGTCAAAGCTGGAGCCTCTCTGTTTTGCGTTCTAAATATCGCTGAGGCAGGTCGGAAGAGAGAGGACACGGCAAGAACGGGGTGGCACAGCGAACAGCCGGCCAGCTTCGCCCTTCATCACATTACGTAATACGGACCTCCGGTATGATCCCGTCCTCCGGTGGCCCGACACAACGATGTCAAACGCTCTCAGTAGCAGCGTTGTTATGACCGCGGTCATGACCGAAGCCATGACCGATTTTGAACAGCTTGACTGGTCATGACAGTTAGTCAAAGGCCAACGCGTGATCTAGGCGACCGAGCGCTTGTGGGGTCGCACTAATCACGTTGATTGGGACCAGCAGCTATGGATGGCCTGACTACTTGTGTACTTGTAGGTAGAGATTATATAGGATTGAAGGAGCATTTTTCGAAGGGAGAGTGAGTGGGAAGATGTAAGATAATGTGAGCTGGAGACAATAGGGGTTGGAAGCATCAAATACATGAACTCCGTCAGCGGTAGAAGCTATTGGGAACCCAGCAATTTTCAACTCTTCTACCGGACCATTGTGAGAGTGCAGCTTCCTCCCGCACTCGCTATTCACTGACCCCCTGACTATGTCTGTGCACTAGCAAGGTGGCCTGCGAGCACCTGTGACAAACCTGGCTTCCTGTATGCAACCCTGGTCAAGTTGACCGGATGTCCCTCCGGACCAGCGTTGTTCGCCTGCCTACAGAATCTTCCATTTGAAGTGAGGCTGAGCACCAATGATAATGTAAATCGAGTGTGGCTTATCCTGTATTCAGACCCTAAAAAACGTTTCGGTTGCCACCCTGACTCCCAGTGAGAACCTTCCCTGTTGCTCACGATTCTCATCTTTTTTGGCCCGTTTCAGTCCGCCCAAAAGGCAGAAGTAGTCAGATATCCACATGTATGTAGGTGAATGCATAGATATCCGTCCATATGCACACAAAAAGCTATTTGCCGTTCGTCGTCTTTTCCCGTCTGTCTCCGTCTATTTGCATCTTTTTCGCCCGATATCTGTATGTTCCACTCTATTGAACGCCTGGCAAAAATATAGGAACAGAGTGCAACAGTCCTATACAGTTGGGGCTCGTTGCTTGGGCACCAGATCGAGCATGAACGGATATATGTATTTATGGGTGGTTACTCTATAATACAAATTTCGCATTACATAATAATACGCTACTCCCCGCGCCCGCGCACCGTGCCAAGCCCGCGTACAGTCGACCTACCACGACGTGCTCTAACCTACTGCGATGCTGCACCCGCGCAACTTACCGTGTATGCTGTGTG